ATCATGCCTTCTTCTGCCCATACTTTGGTCCACGTGGTGTTGGAGACAGGAGTCAAGGAGCAGGGCTTGGCGTTGTTCCTTGGGAGCTCTTTCCTGGCCAGTACACCCTTGAGCATGACGGGTCTCTTGGTCATCTTGGTAAAACCATTGCCTCTGCAACACACAGTGGATATTTGGGGAAATATTTCACCAGGAAGAATTAAATTGTTCTTTGATAATTTGTCTTCAATATTGAGTTAATAATTGAGCATAGTGCAAGTGTTCCGGGGGAGGAATTTTAATTTTGCAGGAAAACTTCAAAATAAAAATGAATTGCAATTTCTGTTGTGCTCTTATAAAATTCATGCTTCTGGATTACTTACAGATGAATCTCATAATTTTTCAATAGTAGGGTGCAAAGGCATTGTTTTAAGCCTCTGAATAGCAGTGATTCTGCAGAAACGAAGCACCAGTAACTTCCTCTAAAACAGGTACGATCTGGTTTTGTTCAGGATACGTGAGCAGCTGCAGTATGAATTTAGAAAACTAAGTTCAAGGCATCAAGGTCTGCACATTTTGCACTAGGTTAACATATATTTTTTCTATTCATATCACTTCTGAAACTGCCTAGTAAAGACTTTTTGGCTCTGGAGATACAATCAGATGGGACTAATTAGTGAGAGCGTGATGTTGGAGCGATCGGGGTGCTGCAGGGTAGGGATTATCTCCGGGTTAGTCACTAGCCCCACTTTGGGTGAGTTTTATAACTGAGCCTGTTCCCACGGGCAGAACACGGGACATGAGCCCTTCCCCACTCAGCACAGGCTTTACTCACCAACCCCTTCTCTGTGACTGAAACTGAAAAGTGAAAGAAGCTTTTTCCTTCATGAGAAGCTCTCTGGTTTTGGGTCTGTTTTCTCTGGGGTGTGTTAACAGGAAGGCGGTGTGTGTGTGCACATACCAATACACCTGGTTTTTAGGGTGTTTTGTCACCTGGGTCTGTCCTGGGCAATGTGTGTGTCTGTGGGATGGCCTGTCTGTCCCCGTCCTGGTCTCTGCACACCCCCACCATGCTGTTTGTGCACAGATGTGCAAGGGAGAGGATTTGGGGAGGAGGAAAGAAATATCTATATTGTGGTAAGTGTCCTTGCCCATGGCAGGGGGGTTGGAACTCCATGATCTTTAGGGTCCCTTCCAACCCAAACCATTCTGTGATTCTGTTCTACGGGATAGTTGCAGGCAGAGGTTAGTGTGGCTGGCAGGCAGCGGTGGATGGTTGCCTGAGCTGGATTCAGACACGGTGAAGGAGGACTAGCTGTGGTCACCACGCTGGCTGCACCCACAGCCCACTGCAGTGGTGGGCTGAGATTTTCCATATGCCGGATTTATAACTTCCTGCGGTGATGTAAAGATGAACTGACAGCGTAACAGTGTGGTGGGTTTCCAAGGAGGATGGTGTAGGGTAAAAATGCTCCTGTCTGAACAATCTGTGACTTAATTTTTGTCAGTAATCAATGGAGACTTGGGCTTAATGAACAGTAAGAGCCTCTTTAAGATTCAGCACCCTTTTGCAGGGGGAAGGTTTGGTCCATCAACTGGCTGACTTGCATAAGAGCTTTAATCTTAAAATGCATCCTTGTGCTTGAAGCCCTGCATATTATCAAAGCTCTTCTGGAAAGAGTGGAATATTAATGTCTGTACAGGGGAGCTGGGCAGGAGTGACCTTTGCTGTGCTGAGACCCCGAGGGTCTCTGTGGGCTGGGCCAGCCCTGCCGAAGGGCAGGATTTTGACAGTGGGGCAGATGATGGCCCTTGGGGTCACTCTTGGACCTCTTACACAGCAGAGCTTTCTTCAAACTTGGAAACTTTCTCTTATCCTAAAAGATCTCTCTCTGAGAAAGGCTTGAGGCGGTGTAGGAAAAGATTTTTATTTTTTTTAAAGCAGTGTTTTTCTTGGAAAAGGAAGTGATATTACAGAATTGGGGCTGGGTTAAAACCCTGATGTTGTGGAGTGTTCTTAATGGATTAACACACTGACAATGGATAAAAGGTTTGTCCTTAACAAGATGGATGTAGGATGACAGTATCTCCTTGTTTTATGGTTGCATAGTTGACCTCTGCATGAAATTTCCTTTTCACTGTGTGCATACTTTGCAATTAATGGCATAAGCATATTGTGTTTCCTTGTCTGTCCTTTTCCTTTTTTTTTTTTTAAGAACAGTCTCTGATGATTAACAACCTCTCTGTTGTTTGGTGTAACCAAACTGGAAGAGCGAATCTGCAGGAGACACATTTTTTGCTCTCGCGGATGCGCTGTGCACCATCCCTTGAGCTGTGCGAGTGGTCCCTCAGGCCTGGGCAGCAGAGGAAGCCACGGGGAGAAGGACAGGAGGTAGAATCTGGGCCAGGGAGTGTGTCCAGTGCTGGAGCAAGTGCCTGAAACCTGGGTTGACCCAGAAGAATTGGAAAATATTCAGGTGTCCCCAGCACAGGAGCTGGTGTGCGCTCAGCAAGGGCAGTGGCCGGGCTGGGACCGTGGCCCCAGGAGAAGCAGGGGGCTGGCAGGGTGGGCTTCTTGGCCAGTGACCTGGCTGTAAGTGGGAAGCAAAGTTTTAAGAGCTGGGTCACTTTTATTGTATATATTATTAACCTGTGTGTCTAGGGTGAGCCAGGGTGGAGTGATGGGCTTGAAGGATCCCGAGGAAGAGCCGTCTGTCTCCAGACCTTTGGATCAGAGCTACCTCAAGCTGTGTCCCTGGTCCCCTCAATGGGTCCTCGACAGAGGTGCTGAAGTTGGAGAGAACTTCTTTAGGGAAGGTTGACTTTGTGGCCAGGGCTACCAGGCGGTACCACTGGTGGAGGAGCCCGCTGTTGGTTTCCTTCCCTCTTTTCACTTATTTTCTTGATATAAACACTGTTCCTGGAGGAAAACTCACTTGCTGACTACAGCTGGTTTTGCTGCTGAATCATCCCCCAGTTTCCAGATGTGAGATGATGGATTTCTCCTGCAAACAAAAATCTCTACTTTGTCTTTGTTGCGTAGCTGGGTGCCTGGGAGGGGGAGAGGGAAGGTTCTCCTCGGGAAGGGTTCCAGGAAGAGTGGGAATTAGCACAGGGGGGTCAGTCTCTGCCCAAACTCTCAGTTTTGAGCTACACGGTGAGATTTGTGCTTCCCCAAGAGCATCCTGGGTGGTGGAGCTGATGCAGCCCCCGGCTGGTGCCGTGCTGTGGATGGCATCGAGGGACAGGTCTCCCTCTGTTAAACCCGCAGGAGACACATGAATGGGGCCATTGCATTCTTTAATGCTGACGAAGCTCCCTCGTTAAGCTCACTGCCCTGACTGGCAGTGCAGCCAGCATGTGGGGTGAGAGCTGCCCGTGTCCTCGTTGCCACCACAGGGGTGTCCGTGGAGCTGTGCTTTGGTGGCTCTGCACAAGGCTGGCACCGTGGCTGGTGGGGGGAGAGCACAGAACAACCCGTGTTTTGATGACCTTCACGGGAGGCATCTGTTTAAGTGGCCTAAGGGTGATGTGGTATGTGACACACAGCCTTTTTGTGGGTTTTTGTCCGTATGGGCAATGGGGATCTTGGGCTGGTGCTGGGGCTCCCAGGGTGAGGGCTGCTGTGGGCAGCGGCGTGTGTACCCGCTGCTGCTGGCACCGGTCCTTTGAGGACATGGCACTGTCACCTTCCCAGCCTCGTGCTCCTGCTGGAGCTCTTGGGGGACATCCCGACAGCAGGGACCCCACTGGAAGCACACAGACCCTCGCGCCCAGGGGCAACCTCTGAGTCTCTGTCCTCAGTGTTAATACCATTAATTAGGAGGCTGCGGTGGGAAAGGTGGAGGATCCGAGCCTCTCCTCCTCCCCGCTCCCCTCGCCTGTGTTGGCCGTTGCTGCCTTCTGGGTTGCTATCAACATGGCCTTTGGAAACTTTCCTTCCCCGCTTGCTATTTCTGGAGGTGGCATGTGATTAAATCAGCTCCCCGCGTGTCGCTGCCGCTGGAAGGGGGCTCCCGGCTTTGTTCCCGGCAGAGGAAGGGTGTGCACAGCCTGCACAGCCCTTTTTTCCTGTTCGAAGGGATGGATGCTGCCACGCTCGGCTCCAGCTTCTGATGCTGGTGGAGCCGCCGGGGTGTGTGTGTGTGTGTGTGTGTGGTTCTGCTGGGGCTCTGGCTTGATGAAGGATTATTTGAAATCATTTTACTCTGTTGGGCCGGAGAAACACAACCTGTCTGAAGGCTGATCTCCTTACAGCCGCGGTTTTCATTATGCCGGGCTTTTAAATCATCCTCAGACTGTGATTAAAACCTTCTGCAGTTGTTTTTACCCTTTTTACTGTATCCACTGAAACATTACTTTGCTCTAAAGCAGCCAAGCTGTAGTAGTGATGGGGACAGGAGGAAGAGCACGGATATTTGAGGACAGGAGAGTCTTGGGATGAAGCCCCAGCCTTGGCTCAGAGCGTGGCTCTGTCCCCGGCAGCGCTGGATGCATCACCTCATCCTTCTGCATTTCACGTCCTCTCTAAATTAATGACATTTCTTTTCCTCTCTTACTTGTTGCTTGACTCATCCATTCAGGCTGTAAGTACTGGGGAGGGTGGCCGCCCCCTCCCTGCCTGAGTCGCACCTGCCAGATGTTGCTGTGATGCCCAGAAGATGTAAAGGGAATTGTCTGCTTTGCTCGAAGTTTATATCCTTCATGTGCGTCTTTGAGAAGAGCAGAGAGGAGAGAATTCCCACCTGCATTTTGTTTAAAAGCCCCTTTATTTTCTGTTTTTACCTAGTCCGTCCCACGTGCATTCCCATGGTTTAAGGACTGTCCTCGTTGTTATTTTAATACAACTCCAAAGCTGTGGCAACCTGAGGTTTCGAATGCCAAAGGCTGTGGTGGTTTTTGGGGAGGTTGTGGGAGGTCCTCCTGAGGGCTGTCACTGTGGGGGTGACACCAGACGTGTCAGCAGCCCCTTCCCAGGTGGAGCCAGGGTCTTCATAAGACTTTCTTCTTGTGTTTTCCAGGTCTACAACTCGAACAAGGACAACCAAAGCGAAGGCAGTAAGTATTTCTTTCCACGGCAGACCCTGAGAAGGTGGCAGTGCTGGGTGGGGTGAGCAGACCTTGGTGGGTCAGCAGGAGAGGCTGAGCTGCCGGTGATGGGGACACTGGGCTGTGCTGTGCTCCCCTGGGCCAGGGATGTGGGGTGACAGGGCTCGTGTGGGCACTGCAGGGTGGTCCCAGGGAGGAGCTGGATCTGCCACCCAGCAGGGAACTGGTGCAGAAACTTGGTGGTGGGACTTGGGGCCATGGAAAGCGGTGCCAAGACGTTCCCCTGGCACTTTGGGGTGCATCTCCTCCTGCCTGTCCCACACCCTGGTGTCCCCAGGCTGCAGTGGTGGTGCAGGGGGTGCTGGCGTGTCCCAGGACCGGCTGCTCTCGTTATCACAGCCAACGTGTGGAGGTGAATCATGGACCAACCAGCTCTTCTTTCTGGACCAGAGAATGTGGAGGATGAATAGGCCTTTCCCAAGGGGGAACTGGAGCTAAAATATAAAGAGTAGGGAGGTCCCACCTGATGGGGATTATCAACAAGAGCCCCTAAAAAAAAACAAAACAAAAAAAGTTGTTTTTATTGTAGTTTGGGCAATCAAAGACTTGAGTCAAGAAAGCACTTGTTTTTCTTGTTAGAGGAGCGGTTGCACCTGGTCCTGGCTCTTACGTCCTGTGTTTGAAAACCCTTAATTGAGCCATTTCCCAGTAGGTTTGAATTGCCATAATTGCAATACTCAAAACTCTGATCCCTTCCCTCCTTCCCCCAAAGTCATCGGTCACACGGGCACCCAGCCTGGGTTGATGGTTAGTAAATAGTTCATTTTTACGCTGGCTCAGACAGGGCATTTTCATCTTGAGTAGAAGTATTTTTCTCATAATAATAGGTATAATTTGCAGATAATGTTCCTCGCACCCATTTTTCAGCCCTTGCACAAAACAGTCTCCTTTCTCCTCTCTCTCCGCTGTGGCTTCTCCCCTCCCCGTTGGTCCCACATGGCGTCAGCCCCACATCCATCTCATCCCCACGTCTTCCTCTTGGCTTTGTGTGCCCCAGATGGTCCTCGCGGAGTTAAATGCTGTTTCTTGTGCTGGTGAAGGACAGGATGGCTGATGCCCCAGCTGGATGTGAGGTCTGCTTAGAACAGCTCCATCTTTTTTCCATTTTACAGAGGAGGGAAAATGAGGTTTTTTGAGGCAGAAACAACGGGCCTTGCTCAACTCTGTCCCATCCTGGCCATGCCCTGTCACTGCTCCGTGTCCCTGCACCCAGCCTCTGGCTCTGCCCAGGCTATACGTGGTGATTTGGCTCCAAGAAAAGTGTTAAAATAACCCTTTTTCTAAACTTTGTTGAGGGGTGATGCAAAAGCAAAAAGAAAACATTAGGGATGGGGGCGGGAGGAAAGATTGGTGAAGCAATTGGTGAAGTAATTACTGCTTCTGAAAGCAGCGCTTGTCAAACCACGACCTTCCCATCTTACGTGCTGTCAGCCAGATATTCTCCTGGGGCTGTGACTTAGGCTGGAGTCATCCTGCAGAGTAACGGCGGCTCTTTTAGAGATGGCAAGAGCTTGAGTCAAGTGTGCCCATGACTTTCCCAGGGTTATTTGTGGTGTTTCATCCCAATCTTCAGCTGCCACGCTTGCAACGGACCCCAGTGGGGGCTCCTAAATGCCTGTTTAGGGTTTCCTCGGGTAAGGGCTGTGTGAGGGTTCTCCACCTGGGCTCTTCGCTGCTGTTCCTGTGCCCTGAGCCTGGTCTTCTCCCCACGGTTAGTTGTGCACAGCCTCATCGATGGCCCATGTTGGCAGAGGTGTGGGCAGCGCCACGCTGACCCGCAGGTGTCTGAATAGCTTATTTTCCTGGTTTTCCATGTGTCAGAGGGGAATGTCTTGCTCCGTGGGGCTGTCAGGGTGATGCCTGGGAGAGTCTGAGGGGTGCTGCTGGTTCCTGCTGCTCCTGCCCACGGCTGGGCACTGCTGCGGGTGCCTTCCCCGGCCAGCCCCTGGCTGCATCCCTCGCTGGGGGCGGGTGGCTTTGAGGAAAAAGCTGGTTTGTCCCCCAGCTCCCGTGTCGGATCCCAGCCTGTGCCCTTGGGAAGGCTGGTTGTTCGTTGTGCTGGTGGTGGCTGCAGCCCCCGTGCCCCTCGTGCTGCTCTCAGGGTGACGAGACTTGGATGAAGACACCAAATGCCAGGTTTCTCCCCACATGTCTTCACCAGCCGAGAGCGGAGCCGGGGTTTCGTCAGCTGAGGAGGCTTCGGTGAAGTTTCTTATCTTAGTACCTCTTATCTTATCTTAGCACCTCTTCCATTTTGGTGCCGCATCTTCAACGTGAGGAGAATCCTCCTGCTCCTCTCTGTAGACCCCGCTCCCCCGGCTCGGGGGGACCCTCGTGGGGAGGCTCCGTGGGCAGCAGAGCTCCTGAGCTGTCTGGTGGCAATTATCCTCCCCCGCGCCTCCGACCGGGGCTGCCGCTGGTACGCACAGACATCTGCCTCTGCTTCAGCCCTCATCACAGCCGTGTCTGCAGCGAGCTGCTGGCCTCACCAGCCACGCTGCAGATTGATTCTGAGCCTGGCTCTGTGCCACGCGGCCCTTCAGTCGGGAGCTTCCTATAAGGGCTGGAAATGAGTGCAGTGATTGAGCGGAGTCCGGATGCAATTCCTGACCCCGAAAACCTATATCCCTCTGCTTCCTGCCCGCGCTTATGTGCCTCTGAGAGAGGCTGGCGGTGCCTTAGCGAGGGCTGCTTTTTTGGCCACTATCTAATTTTGCAGAGTTTTTGGGTTTTACATCCTGCTGTGTGGCCAGATGGCCATCGGCCTACAGGGTGATTTATCTTAATCTTCTTTGGGAGCCGGGAGGAAGCGGTGCCGAGCGGTGGGGGCGAGGGGGTGTCAGTGAACTGCCAGAGCCAGATGAATTTAGATGCACTAGTTTGCAAACTGGGAGGACTTGCCCTGCTCTGTGGAAACAGATCCTCCAGGCCATTTGTGCTTATTGCATGGAAAATTACAGAAGAGCTCCTTTCCCTTCCCCTCCCCACCATTTCCCTCTCCTTTTTCCATATCCTCTTGGTTCCCTACTAGTTCAGGACCCCTTCAAAAGCTGTCTTTGTTTTCATAAGCTCTTCATAGACCTCGAGTCCCTGGACTGCCCCGTCTGCTGGTGTGCTTTTCTTGGTGGCCTGGCCCTCCCCAGCAACCTTCATTTCTCAATCTTGGCCGCTCACTGGTTGTTGGAGACTTGAAGTAAGACTTGAAAACTCATTTCTCTCTGGCCTCTGCTTCTTTGTTTCTCCCTTCCTCTGTGGCTCTTAATTCCATAAGGTCTTTGGGAGAACTCATACCAGTAATCACCGTGGCACAGCATGGAGATGTGTGGTGGGGTCAGCACAAGAGCTTGCTTTGACTGATGCGCACGCAGCTGGAGCTGCCTGAGCCTGAACGGAGCTGATTCCGTCTTCTTCCCCCCTTACCCATGCTCTGATGTGCCATATCGGGGTAAAGGAAAGGTATTAATGGATTAAATAGAAATAATCTGCTTGGTAAGAATAGACCAGGATGAGACCAGCTGAGTAGCACTAGGAATATGATGCAACGTGAAGGTCAGATAAGTGTGTGTGTGTGCCACAGCTGTAGTACAAGTGATAAGCATCACCTTTGCTGATGGGAATGGGTTGACATTTAAATTGTGAGGCAGAGCACCTGAGATGGTGAACTCTGTGGGCTGCCCAGCACGGTGCAGGAACACTGAAGCTTCAGGGTCATGGCCATTACAAAGCCAAGGTGAATAAGACTGGGGTTTGCCTGCACAAAAGGGTTTCTACACCCTTTTGGTGTGGTTTACTTCTTCTCAGGTACCCCTGTGCTTGTGTTTATCAGTGATGTGGGGTAGGGTAGGCTGTGCCCCACTGACTGAGGGCTGGTTTCATGCAGCATCCATGTGTGGAGTGGTTGGGAGTGGTGCTGGAGAGCCCTCCCCGTGCCCAGCAAAGGGCTCTGGAGTATCTGCATATTCACACATCCTATGGCACAGGCATCCTGCAACTCCTGTGCTTATGTTGGCTCCGCTCCTCGGCGTGCTTGCCCAGAAAAATATAATAGAGCTGTTCTACTGTTTCACTGTTTCAGGTTCTTGTGCCATTCATCACACAAGAACCACCACCAGCAGCGAACCCAAAACAAGTGATTAGTAAGGGGCTGCACCCTGCAAGCCACAGGGAGCTGGCGCCTTGTTACGGAGCCGCCGTGAATCTGTGTTTAAATGAATGATGTGAACAGGGGAATGCAAAGGAGTAAAATTGCACGTGCCTCGCTGCGAGGACACTGCCAGCCCTGGGCTGTGCTCTCGGTAAAATGCAGTTTTGTGGCTTTTTCTTACAACACAGCATTCCCTCAGGTCTGTGCAGACATAAAGTCATCTGCTTTTAAGCTAATGTCGTACCTTTTCTACCTTCTGGGGTCTTAAGCCGTGCAGCCATGTTGTACACAGTCCTGTTGTGCGACCCCTCTGCTGGGAGGGGGGGCTGAGAGAGTTGGGGGGTTCAGCCTGGAGAAGAGAAGGCTCCGGGGAGGCCTTGGAGCCCCTTCCAGTAACTGATGAGGGCCTACAAGAAAGTTGGGCCTTTTGACTTCTTACAAGGGCATGCAGTGATAGGACGAGGGGCAATGGCTTCAAACTGGAAGCCCCCTCTGTGGGGCTTCTGCCACGTGAAGCGTTTCCCAAACCTTTATACAGGGAGGAAGCAATTTTCCTGTACAAATAGCTGTCTGCAGGCAGGGTTTTCCACGCCGTGGTGGAAGGCTGACTAAGGGATAAATTCTTCCAGCAGGTATTTGGATCCACGTATTAGTAATTTCTTGAAATTAAATGTGAAAACCTGCAATGGCATGAGTTAATTGAGTTTTACATTCCATTAACCAAATGTTTTAGATCTTACTCTCAGACAGAGTCAGCTGCCTTCAGGACATCCTAATTTGCAGCAAATAAATATTTCATTTGTGCTAATAAAAGAAGGGGCTGTTCTTGAACTGTGCCCATCTGCATAGAGCTCGGGTAAAAGGGATGTGATGTATAGTGTTCAGCAGATAAAATTGTTTAGCTGGGCTTTTGCATCGCCGGGGGGGGCACAGAGTGTCTGCCCGGAGCCGGGCACAGGCAGGGTGCAGGCAGGGCACAGGCAGGGTGCAGGCATTGCTGGGGGCCAGGGCTGGCTCCCCAGGGACAGGTCCTGTCCCTCTGGGCACAGGGGGTGCTTCAGACAGAGGTTTGACCCGAAATTCGCTCCCGTCTCCCAGTCCCCATAGCTCTTCCTCCACGTGTCGTCAGCTCTCTCCTCTTTCTGTCATGTTTTTACCTCCACACTTTCACATTCCTTTGGATTTCTTTACTCCATTTTCCTTCACAGTTATCTCCTGCTTTTTGCTTCCACTTGTTTCTTCCCTAGTTCTCCTTTTACTGTAACTTTTCAGTGCTCTAACCTGTCATATGCCTTGTCCTTGAAAAAACCTGCATTTGCACAAAACCACCTCAAAAGCCCCAGGAGGAAGTCCAGGGCACCACCAGCAAAGCCTGGGAGGACGGTGCCGTACCCCAGACACGCAGGGGATCCCCGGTGGGGGTGATGGAGATGAAAGCATCTCTCCAGCTCAGGGATGGTTGGTGAGCTGGGTGGAGAGCCGAAAGGATTTATAGGAATTACCGGCGACTCGTCAGGCGAGCTGCCTCGAGTGCTGCTTACAAGGGTGTGTTGTGTCAAAAATAAGTATGAATGATTCCTGTTTTTCTCCAAGCAGGCTGGTGTCAGCTTCCCAGGCAAAGGTCTCTTCGGGTTATCTCACCTTGATCCTAAATTAATGTTTTGACCAACTGCAGCTGTAAATCTCTGCCGGAGCCTGGGGCTCTGCTGCTGGGCAGGCGTGGGAGGGCTGCGGAGGCTGAAGTGAGGGATTCAGGCTCTGTGCCTGTCTGGGTTACACCTGGTACGAGCTACTGGGCTCCTGCCTTTCCTCTGCAAACACCTCATTTATCTCCTCCTCCTTCCTCCCCTCCTGGTCGGAGCAGCGGCGCGTTGCTGGGGACAGCGATGATGGCTGTGGGGGGTGTTGTGCTCGGTGCGGAGCCGTCCCTCGGCCGGGTGTTTATCCCTGCTCTCTCTCCTCTTCCCTTTCAGCCGCCCAGTTGGATAATATCGGCTTCAGCATTATCAAGAAGTGCATCCACGCTGTGGAGACAAGAGGTAGCGCAGTTCGCCAGATGGTCTTGTTTCGGGGGGGATGGCCTCGCAGCTGTTTGCAGCAGAGCAATTGCTTACCTGCCCTTTTCATCCACAAAAAATGATTCATTAACCCTGGGAGACCCACATCAGAGGAACGCTGTGATGTGCTCAAGCAGATGCCTTGGCCGAGCCCCACGCTTGCCCCGTGGCCAGGGTTATCGGGGGCTCGGCAAACCTCGGGGGCAGAGTTGGGAAATAATGCCCTGGATGTGTGAGCTGGGGGAAGGGACCGGAGCTGGGGACTTCATCTGAGCTTGTCTTCGAGCTGCAAAACCACTTCCTCTCCTGTGGGACAGCACACAGATCTGTGTTCCAGTCCTTCCCCTAAAATCTCGTGCAAAGACTGTTTCTGTACAGCCACTTGTTAGAGCCTGAGCCCCCACACGGTGAAATGTGGGGCTGGTTCTCACGGGGTTTCTGGGCACCCTGATGCCTGCACGGGGTAGGAAAGAGGCATCACAGGAGGCTCTGGGCTGAGAAGGGCTCTGAGCTGGCAGCATTTCTGCCTGTGTTCTTTCACTGGGGTCATTGTTAATATGTTGTGGGCCATTGAGAGGTGACATTTTCCCCTGTAATTTTGGCCACGGAGCAGAAACTGCTGTCGAGAGTAAAGGAGCACCTGGGAGCTCCGGGGCATCCACAGCGTCCCACAGGAAGGGCAATACTCAGATTTTCACTCTAACCACAGCTCTCTGTAACATCCAGGTCATGGTTTAACAGTCAGATGGGAGCAAATAAATTGAAAAGAAAAAAGAAAAAAAATGGGTAGATGAGACCAAACAGCAAGTGCAGTTCCTGGGGAGAGCTGGGGGAGCTCCAGGCGGGGGGGTGCAGCACACCCAGCCTGGGGTGCTTCGGTGGGAAGGGGCTTCTCTCACCATGTCCTTTGGCTGCTCCTGGCCCTGGTAAGTCATTTGGTTCTCGTTCCTGTGTGAAGAACATGCAAAAGTCCCAGACCTCAGCCTGAAGAAACAGCCCAATTTTCCAAACCTGCCCGTTGTGTTGTATGTGAAGAGCAGATCCTTCATGGAGCATCCGTGCTCCCTCGCTGCTAGTGCTGTGGTGGAAGGATGTCCTTGGATCTTTTATTACTGAGCTAGTTGGGGGGTAGGACTTTTAATCAGTACATGAAAGCCCTGACATCAAAATCAAATTTTACCCTCTTCTATAATTTTGTATGTAGTTAGTGAGAGGGTTTAATTATTTTTGCTATTAGAGAAGCCAAAGAAATGAAAGAAATGTCAGTAGCTCTTTTGACATTCTCCTAATAAGCTCTTTGTTTTTCCTAGGGATCAATGAGCAAGGGCTCTACCGAATCGTTGGAGTAAACTCCAGAGTTCAAAAGCTGTTGACTATATTAATGGGTAAGTATCTCGGATTTTGTTAAAGGCAAGTAGATTGTGCTGCTTTGAAGTCTTGCCAGCTGAGAACGGAGGCTCTCGCCGGGGTACCTAATCGTGGTGAATGTGCTCTTAGGGCCACGTGCTGTTAGAGGCCGGGAGGTCCCGGGGCACCACTGGCAGGTTGTGAAGGTAGGACTCATGTAGGACATGGCTTTGAAAGGTCTGCTGGTGCAGTCGCTGGTGTCCCGCTCACATGCGCTACGACGTTTGGCAGCCTTCCCAAATGCAAACTAAAATCTTCAAAGAAATAGCTGAAAGCTTTGGTTTTTAATCTCCTACCTGCCACGTTGTTCCCAGAATACTTTTTAATTATTTTCTCTTGTGTGTTGCATGCTGCCTGTGGCTCTTCTGACTTTTCCCTTGGACAGTCTTCTGCCTGTTGTAACACGGTCTTGCCCAGACCTTTCAAGCACGCGTTTCCCTCGTGCCTGAGGCATCGGGTCCGGTGGTTCTGCGTGCTCGGGAGGAGAGAGGGTGTTGGGTCACACCATGGCAGGGCTGGGTGTGGACATGGTGGGGCTCTTTGAGCACTGACCACCCTGTGCAGCCACTCTGCAGCTGCCCAGCAGCCTTCAGAAGATGGTATGGTGGCAAGAGAGAAGCTGTGGTGTCTGCTATAAGTGTCTTTGTGTCCTGAACCAGCATTCCCTAATCTGAGCACTGAAATGTGTAGGAGCAAAAGGACCATCTTGTGATGGTCAGTGAGCTGGTGGTTGTTCCTGGTGCAGGTCTGGGACCACTACGTCTGGCTTTTCCTGGAGCAGTTCCTTGGTGGTGGTGGTGGGTTCCCGTTACCCTGTAGCCATGCAAAGCCTTGTGTTGGGTCACACTTGTTTGTTTGTGTTGGAGAATCTGTAGCCTGACTCCCAGCTTCCACTACGTCTGGCTTTTCCTGGAGCAGTTCCTTGGTGGTGGTGGTGGGTTCCCGTTACCCTGTAGCCATGCAAAGCCTTGTGTTGGGTCACACTTGTTTTGCTACGTCTGGCTTTTCCTGGAGTGGTTCCTTGGTGGTGGGTTCCCGTTACCCTGTAGCCGTGCAAAGCCTTGTGTTGGGTCACACTTGTTCATTTGCATTGGAGAATCTGTAGCCTGACTCCCAGCTTCTGTGTCAGCCACAGCCCAGGGGTTATACTTGACCCCCAAAAAAATGTGAACTCTTCCCCTCTTTGGTCTTCTTCCTGCCTTCCCAGGCCTTGGCCCCTCCAGCAGAACCTCCCCTGCTCCCTGTGCCCTTCTCTGGGGTCCGGGTTGGTGCTGAGGTGGGCTGTGGCTGTATGTGACACCCCCTGAACTATCAGGTGGCATTTCCATCCCCAGCTGCAGCCCTGTGGCACTCTGCCTGTCTGGACACGCATGAGATGGACCTTTGAAGGACCGTTTTGAGAGAACAGGCAGTCGGGTTGGAGCAGCAGGAGCTGCCCTCCACCAGCCCCAGCTCATGCTTCTTGGACTTGGCAAAACCCCGTGTGAAATAGGTGTAGTAATGAGGAAACATGCTCCATGATTTGGTAGCGCCCTTATGAAAGTGTTTGCGACTCCTTTGGGGCAATGAGTGACATTTGTGGTGGTTCTTCCTCTTTTCATTCGCTTATTGTCATTCCTTTGCAGCGCGACTTCCTCTTCCTTGTCTTCACAAAATCCCAGTGCTCCCTTCTCTCTGTATTTCTCCTTGCGAAAGGTTTTAATCCATTGTGTTCCACTTTCAACATCTTTCCTTCACCTCTTCCAATCCCCCCTTCTTTTCCCACTGTTAGGATGTCCACTGAGCACAGCCCGTGGTGGCTGTTAGGGGTGTCAGCGTTAACCTACGCAAAATCGATAATCTGGGGATAATTAGGAAGCGGAAGGGTAAGGCACTAAATCAGGGGCTGACGCAAGGGGACCTCTCCGCTCGGGTTTTGCTCTGGCATTTGGAAAGTTCACTGCAGTCACAAGAGCTGGTGACTGACTCTCTCTCTTTTATTAGCAGGGGTTTGGCATAGGTTCGGGGGCATGTGAGCATGTCCCTCTAGCCACCCAAGCGCAGCAGATAAGCCAGAGCCGTCTCATGGCACACACGTTTGGCACTCTCGCCTGAGAGCATCGGTTTAAGAGCGTTGCTGCCCCCCCTGATAAAAATAGTTGGGGATTGGGTGCCCCCGGGGCACAGCAGGTCAGACAGGCCGGGTCCTCTGCTCATGCTTTCCATGCCGGGTCCTCTGCTCGTGCTTTCCATGCCAGCATCCACCATCTCCCGAGCTAGCAGAGCAACAGGCCCTGTTTTCTCATCAGAAGGGTGGTCTCGGGCTGTGTCAGCTCTGGGTCGAGGCGGTGGGGCTGTGACAGATGGCAAAACTTGCTTGGTTTTAAGAGCTCTGTGGAGCTGGGAGGGATCCGGAGTTTTGGACACCATCCAGCATCCATTATCTCCTCAGCGACTGAAGCCACTCAGCTGTCGACCTCGTGTCTCATAATGGGGTGATATACGGCCGGTGGTTTTCCTTTGTCCCGGCACGTCTTCGTTAGTTGTTGGGACTCGGAGCCTCGTTAGGGGAGAGAGTGCCGGGTGCGGGAAGTGGGACCTGCATTGGGGGTCTCCCGTGCCATCCATCGCCAGGACACTTTGCAAACCCGTGGCTCCTTATCTTTCTCCAAATCACAGCCTCTTAGATCGTCTCCTGCAGTCCTGGGCTGGCTGCACAGTCGGTGTCGAGCAGAAAATGTCCCAGGTCAAACCCCTTTCTGCTGCGGGCTGCCCTGGGCTCTCACCCCCTGCCGTTAGCGGCTCCGCTCCAGCCCTGCCGTGGGGCTCCAGCCCTGCCGAAGGGAGCAGCCGGATTGGGCTCAGCACCTCAGGTCCCCTGTATATTTAGAAATGAATGTGGGCAGCCCTGCTGATTCACATACAGTTTAAATGGCAAAAAGATCGAGTTTCCCTGCGCGGTGGCGGGTGTCGGTGACGCTGTTGGGAAGGCCTTTGGCAGGAGGTGTCTCGGCAGGAGGTGGGCACCGCGCTGGGCCGACCCGGGGCACAGCCTTCCCGTGGGCAGCAGCCAGGTCAGGGGCAGCGCAGGTCCCGGGCTCGGGCAGAACAGCTTGTTTTTGTCTAAACTGTGGTGAAACAGGAGACCATAGAATCACAGAATGGTGTGGGTGGGAAGGGATCTTAAAGCCCCCCCAGTGCCACCCCCTGCCCTGGGCAGGGACACCTCCCACCACACCAGGTTGCTCCAAGCCCCCTCCAACCTGCCCTTGAACCCCTCCAGGGATGAGGCAGCCACAGCTTCTCTGGGCAACCTGGGCCAGGCTCTCACCACCCTCCCACCAAACAAGTTCTTCCCCACAGCTCAGCTAAATCTTCTCTCTTTCAGTGTAAAATTGTTCCCCCTCCTCCTAGGGCTCCCCTCCCTGATCAAGCCTCCCTCCCAGATGGGCCTCCCCCAGGGCTGGTGGGAGGCAGCCCATCCATGGCCGAGCAAGCTGCCTTTCCTGAGCCTTCACCGTCACCATGTGCTATCAAAATGAGGACAAAACCCAACAAATATACAAACTTTTATCAGTTGGAGCTCTCGTGAAAGGGTTTATTGTGGCACCCTGTGTGCACAGGACAGCAGTGGTCCCAGCAGATCCACTGCTGAGACCTGGCACTGAGGCTGGTGGAGCAGCACAGGCTCTGATCCACTCTTCTCACTCCTTCCCAACGTGAGCCACAAGGGCTGGGAGAGAGTTCCAGCTGGGTGTTGGGGTGGTTCCCCTTCCCATGGAGAAATGGTGGAGGAATTGAAACCAGCTCTTACGGCAGCAGCTTTCTCCGTCCGGAGGAAGCAGATGGAGAAGTGCCTGAGAAATGACTTGGTGCAGGGGCCGTAGGGATGGGCTGTGCTTTGGGGAACATCCAGGCGAGTGTCCTGCTGTGGTTCCGTCAGGGCTGTGGGGTTGAGGGTGTCTGACCAGCCTGGGCTTCCCTCGCACACCTCCCTGCCCTGTGGGCCCCGTCCCATCCCCTGGGGTCTGCAGGGACCAAGGCATGGAGATCAATGGGGCCTCCATCCCCTCCACCGCTGCTGCTGTGGTTTGCCTCCAGGATGAAAGCAAAACAAATCCTTTTTTGGGGGAATTTGGGGATTCCTTCCCACCTCTGAGTTCCTATGTAGATCCTGCTATAAGAAAGCACAATGTAGTTTCTTCTTGATACAGACCTGGAGTTCTGCAGCTCCCTTGTCTTTCCTCAGATGTCCCCCGTGAGAGGCTGGCTCAGTGATGACCTGCTTTGGTCTCACAGCCCGGGGGAGCTGGGAACACTGTTCTGTGTGGCATCTGGGACCACGCAGAAGGGGAAGGGGGTGATGCTGCCAGGGCTGGCAGTGCCATGGGGTGAGCAAAGTGCTTCCTGCAGCCCCTGCTGGAATGAAAAGCTTGGGGAAGTTAAATTTCCCCTTCTTTCCCCTTCCCCTTTCGCTTCAGCCTTTTCCATATCTGCTAAGAGACATCAGATCAGTAATTTACAGCAACGCACAACTTCGAGGTTAATTCTGGATGTGGCCTCTGGGTGCTTTTGAGGTCCCAGTTTCCCATTTACACCAGTTTGTGTGGGAATGTGTCCTTGTGCAGAGAGAAAAGTTGGCCGCGGTGCGGGCTCAGCCATCTCTGCCTGGGGAGACAGATGCTCCATCTGTAACCTACCAGAGAGCTTTTTGCAGACTCATAAATTTGAAGGTCAAAGGGACCTGATTAACTGCTCCCAGCCGTTCCGCGGGACCGGCCGTAGAGTTTCACCCAGTGTTTTGTGAATGAATCACGCCTATAAACCCCTGCATGAGCTTTGGAAAAGGCATCCAGTCTTGAGTTGTTTGTTCAACTTCAGTGAAGGCTTTGCTATTAAAAAGGGGTTTTTTTTAAAAAAAAAAAGGGTGGGGTTTTTGTTGGTTGGTTGGTTGGTTGGTTTGTTTGTTTGTTTGTTTGTTTGTTTCTTGTGTGGGAGTTTTTTGTTTTTATGTTTGTAGTTTTTTTTAAAAAAAAGGGTGGAGTTTTTGTTGGTTGGTTGGTTTGTTTGTTTGTTTCTTGTGTGTGTGTTTTTTGTTTTTATGTTTGTTTGTTTATTTTGGGAGTTTTTTGTTTTTATGTTTGTTTGTTTATTTTCCTATGCCAAGCTTATCTTTAGTCTGTTAAAATTGCCTCCTGGAAGAGGTAGTGCAGTAGGAAGTTGCCGTGGCATCGCCGAGGAGGGCTGGTGTTCATTTGTGTGATTGCTGCGAGGGACACACGTGATCTTGGTGTGAATATACATTTCTTAAATGTTTACTTTTTCGAGTGCTCCTCTTGATGTTTTTTTTTAATTAAAATAAACCCTTTGCCCTCAGGGAAAAGCCTAACTCTTATTCAGTGCATTCTTTTAATTAGTTTTAAAATTACACTATGCTTACCTATTGCTTTAAAATTCAAAAGCGCATTAGACATGTCTGTGAGAAGACAAATACCCCCCGAGCTGCATCCCTGGGACCAGATGGCGTCGGCAGCTGGATGTGGCGTCAGGCTTGGCCTTGGTGGCGGTGAGTGCCGCTCTGCGCCTGCTCCGCCGCGCCGGGGACGCCTGGCACGGCCCTCCCGCTGGAAGGAGCCACAGCCCTGTCTCCCAAGGAGGTTTCCCGGGGATTTTGGGGGGAGCAGGATCCCCGCTGGGTTTCCAGCTCCTGCTGGGCTGTCAGAGCCTTCAGCTCCGGAGTGGCTGGGAGATGCCGGAGAGAGTCAGCAGAGAGCGTTCATGAAGGAGCATCCCAGGAGAGAGATGATGTCCCCACGCCTGCAAACGGGGCACCTTCGTGCCCTGCTCCTCCCTCCTCCACAGCCGTGACCGGCGTGGGGCTCCTCCTTGGTCACCCTCTTTGCTCTTGGTCCTTGGTGCTGTGCGTGGAGCATCCACAGCCTGGCCACTTCGTGCCAAGCTGGCAGTGGCTTTTGAGCTGACCAGCTGTGACTGTCAGCAAAGCTCTAAAAAAACGTAGATGCCACCTGTGACGGTGTGTGCAGATGGCACTGGTCACCCAGCACACCCCCACAGGGTCCTGGCGTGGGTGGAGGCGCTGAAGAAGGGAGCGGTGGCTCCTTCCTGAGGTCTCCTTTATTGTCAAAGCATTAGGGTGGTTTTCACAGAAATTGGTAAAAATTGTGCTTTACTTAATCTGACGATGGAACTTTGCTCAGAGGAGCCTGGGTGCCTGGGGGGGTGGTTTGCAGAGCCCAGGGAGAAGCTGGAAGTGGCAGATTCCTGTGAGCACGGGCTGCGAGAGGCTGGTTCAGATCCTCCTCGGGAAGGGACGGACCAAGAGTCCGGAGCCTCCTGTTTACAGTGTCCAGAACAGCTGCGCAGGGTTTGGTTTTTTATTGTTTCTTTAAAGGAATTTTAAAAGGAAAGATAGGAGGGGAAACAAATGAAGAAAGGGAGGGAAGGCCCCGGAGGAGATGGAGAAAAGTCCGCTGCAGTGTTCGACAATAAAAATAGGGGCACTTCGGGGGCTCCCCCAGACACTCACACTGCGCAGAGCTGGAAACCAGAGGGCAAGCGGGCACCAAGATCCCCGTGGGACCTGTGAGCTGGTGCCGTGAATCCCCAGGGAAAACTGGGGTGCTGGGGTGCTGAACCCCCTCGGCACGAGCACCCAGAGCCCGATGGGCTGGATTTCCTCTGGGCAGGTTGGCATTGTGGCTGTGCCGGTGCCTGGTTCCTGCGGAGCGGTGCCGGGGGCTGGGAGGGCAGTGAGATGCAGAGGTGTCCCTCACACCAAGCTGTGGCCAGGAGAGCTGCTCTCTGCTGATGCTGAGTGCCAGGAAGGGCTGGCAGAGTCTCTGCTGGTGGCACCTCGCTGCCATCAGACCCACTGTGCACCCTGTGGTGCTGGTTTGACCTTTGCTGAGATGGACACACTCCAGGGCTGCCCCAGGAGCCATCCTGCTCCCCTCTGTCTGGCTCTGGGAGAGCGTCCTGTGGGTTTAGGATACTCCTGCCCATCTCCTCCAGGGTCTCGTGTCAAAGCTTGCATCAGGCCATCACAAAGCGTGACCTAGAGTCACCATTTCTACCTGCTCCCTTCATGTAGCCTGGGAATGGTGAGAGGTTCCTGGGTCGTGGTGGTCCCCAGGATCCCCACAGGTCTTCCTGCTCCAGGAGATGATGGAGCTTCCCAGTCCAAGGCCACATTGGGCTGGTGAGGATGGTGCTTGGTGGCACATTCCTGGAGCTGCCTTCCCATCCACTCTGTGGTGGATCGGGTGGCTCCAGGGGCTCTCCCCCACCTTGGGCAGGAGAACAAGCCACCTCCTGTCCCCCTGCGCACCCGGGCAGGGCTCTTGCCTCTGCCACCCCCTCTGTCCTGCTGCCTGCCACAGAGGCCGTGTCACCGTTGCTGCTGTTGCTCACGTTAGTTTAGGCTGTGGCAACACCTCACAGCCTGCCTGGGGCTGGGACCTTCTGCTGAGCCCTTGGGGGTCTCTGTTTGTCTGGGTCCGTGTCGTGTCTGTGCCCTGCTTTGTCACCACTGTCGCTGGACACCAGTCTCCTGTGCCCTCTGTAATGTCACTCTTTGAGTCCGACTGCCACCCTCGTTGCTCGTGATTAATGTTTTCTGTTTCTTGTTGCTCGACCCATGGAGGGGAGCGTGGCCCGTCCCGTGTAAGGGGCTCTGCTTCCCCGCAGGAGTGGCTGCTGGGGACCAGCTGGTGGTCACCGGGCTGGGGAATGGCGACTCAAAGGGGACGTGACGGTCTCCCCCCACAGCCGAGCTGGTGTTATCTTCACTTTGGTTCACTCTTCTCTTTTTTGTCTTTTTCCTTAGATCCCAAAACAGCCACAGAAACAGAAACAGAGATCTGTGCGGAGTGGGAGATAAAGACCATCACTAGTGCCCTGAAAACTTACCTGCGGTAAGGCAGAACAGCCTCCTCCCTCCCGGGGCTTCAGGGGGGGTTCCCTGGTGCTCTGGGGCTTTACTGCAGATCCTTAACAGCAGCACTTAAAGAGAAACAGAGGAGAAACTGCTCTTGGAGAATTTCTTCTGGCTTTTCCCTTGACCTTCCAGCATATTTGAGTAGGAGCTGGGGAGAGCAGCCCGCTCTCTGGCAGATGTGTATATTGTGATTTTAAAAACTCCTTCTTGTGTCCTCTGCCTTGATTTAAGCTTTTTCTGGGGGGCTTCCGCCTACTGAGTGAGTGGCAGAAGGTGAGGGCAGAGCTCCTCTAGGGTTGGGGCTGCAGTGCTTTCTCAGAAGTGGGTGCTGAGCTTCTCGTGGGGACAGGCTGTGTGTGCCCCGTGATGCCGTTCTCTCCAAGGGTTATCTTCCCAAAGAGCTGCTTTGTTGGCAGCTGCCAGCATCTCCTTACCCACAACATGCTGCTGCCTGTCCACCAGCAGCTCCCTGCTCCTGCTCTGTGCCTTGGGTTTATTTGAGAGTGAGAGCGCAAGAGAGAGCCTAAATCCAATTAGGGTGATGAGTATAATTAGCTTGGTGGATCTCAGCCTAGAAAATCACAAAACACTACAGAATTTTGCATGATTGGCAACCTTTGCTCCAGAGTTTGAACTGTTTACAAAGCGAGGAGGAATGTCGGCAGCACCAAGACGTCCCATCGAAGGGATGTGGAAGTGGGAGGGGAGAACGGGGAATTTAATGGGAATGGTGACTGTTAAAGTGTTATGACTAGGCTTGTTTCTCTTTTTAATTTATTTTTAAACTTATTTGGAAATCACGGGCTCATTAATGTGCTGAAACTCTGTGTTACTGAAGGAATGCTAAAATTAAAAATTAATTTAGCGTGGTGCAGAAAAGGGAGGAAGAATAAATCAAAGGTAATTCAATAGATGTTATTCCTTCTGATGGGGGTAATTAATTAGAGTTGCTGTTGCCTAATTCTGCACTTTTAAAAGCGGAACTGAATTTATGGTAAAGGCAAAGCTTTATTTCTGTGGATTGTGTTACTGAGATGTGTTTTTTGTGCGTGTTACCTTTTTATCTTCCAGAATGCTTCCGGGGCCGCTCATGATGTACCAGTTTCAAAGGAGCTTCATCAAAGCAGCAAGTGAGTTTGTTGATGTTTATGGCACCGGGCTGAAAAAGGAACATTATTTGCAAGTAACTGAGCGTAACCTCTGCCCTGGTGCTTCCCCACCGACCTCCTCCTTCTTTAGTCCCGGAAAGTAGAATAAGAACCGGGAGAGAAGGGGCATGTTGTTGTTTGGGGCTTAACCAGATGAAAAGGAAACGCAGAGGGGGCCGGGGAGCAGGGAGCTGGCTGGTGGCAGAAGCTGCTGCTGCGGCTCTGTCTTGTTTTGACCATCACCTGCCAAAAAAGAGGGAGGCGGTGGATCAAACGCCACCTACGCTGTTTTGATGGCATCAGATGGGGTTCAGACGTCTTGAGATGCTTTCCTTTCACTGCCCTGGGAAGGTGCTTTGTAGGAGAGAAGGTAACTGTTGGCAGCCTGTGCGTGCTCTGGGACCAGGGGCTCGGGAGGGCTCACGTGGCCATCTCAGTGGTGGCCTTCTGTGGCCTCAACCAGCCTGTTTGAGGACCAGATGTCCCATGTTGGCCGGGCGCTGTGCTGAGCACGTCCCAACGGAGCTTGGGAACACTCTGAACGGAACGTGTTGATGTTCCCACTGCTGGAATTGAAGAAACACTGGTTACAGCCAGCCCCTTCCTGGGCATAACCGGCTTTTCACCTGCTCCCAGCTCACTGGTTCAGCCCTGAGTTTCTTCCTCTGGGAGGGAAGGAAAAGTGCTGCAGAGAGAACCCGCAGCGTGCCCGAGTGGAGCAGGTCCCCAGGATGTCTGTGGGTGTCAGTGTTCAGGCCTCTGTCCAGAATAACCCCCTGATGCTGAGATAAATGATTTTCTGTTTCCAATGCAGAACTGGAGAATCAGGAGTCCAGGGTGTCCGAGATCCACAGCCTCATTCATCGGCTCCCAGAGAAAAACAGGCAGATGCTGCACTTGCTCATGAACCACTTGGCAAAGTAGGTTTATGACTGATATGTTTTTCTCTCCTTTTTTCCACTTCCTCTGAAAGTTAATAGTGGTAGAAAAGTTTCCTTGTGTGCGTGTGCGCGGCGTTGAGTCATATCTGGTTGGCGAGTAACTGGAAACCCGTGTGTGAGGCGAGGGCCGGCCGGCAGAGCGGGGAGGGAGGGAGAGAGGGATGGAGGGAGGGAAGGAGGGATGAAGGGAGGGAGAGAGGGATGGAGGAAAGGAGGGGGCTCTCCCACTGCCCCCCATCCCTGCCCTCCCCTGCCTCTGTGGCCATGCCCCAGCCCCACGGCACCGGGGGGAACCCAGACGGTGCTGAGTACCCAGCGATGATGGTAACGGGGCTTGGCTAATCCAGAAAGCAGAGCAGAGGTTAAGCTCCTCACTGGGTTTCAGACAAGGCCTGGTATTAAAGGACTAAAAGCTATTTCTTCCCTACAACAGCAGCTGCTCTCGGGCGTATTTTCTGCCTTTATGCAACCTGATTAATCAATACTTGTAGGTCACCTTGAAACTTTGCGAGGGCAAAGGAATTGAATATTATTTTTTTTTTCTTTCAGTGATAGAGCTGACCTGTAATTTCCCATCTTCCTCCTGCTCCTGCAGGTTCCCATGGAAACCTTTGATTAGTGTTTAAAAAGTGACGGCATCATCAGGTGTTTGTGCCAGCCTCAAGGCTGCGGGGTCGTCCCTGCCCTCGCCGTTCGCACGGGCGCTGCGTGAGCAGGAGGGATGAGGCAGGGCTTGGGAACCTGGGGGATGAGTTAATTGGCAGGACTGTTTAGAAGAAGGTCTGGGAGAACCTGAAGTTATCTGTTTAAGAGAAAAAAATAACAAATGACACTTGAAATAGGCTTAAAAATGACTCCAGATGCTTTCTTACGCCACGGGCTTGTATCTGTTCCACGGGCTCCCCAGCAAGGCTGTTAGAAACCAAAGAGCTGGTTTAGATCTTGGTTTCAAAACCTTCTGCATTTAGAGGCTGGAGCCCAGGGCCAGGCGGTTCCAGGTACTCCCTCAGCCAAATATGTGCGAGGAATCTCAGAGCCACTTAAGTGCTTTTCATTTAAAGGAAAACCCAGTGGTGTTTGAGTGAGAGACGGGAGGCAGGTAATACAATGGGCTTCATGCTGCTTTAGTAGGGAAGGAACTAAAACAAAACACAAACAAACAATGAGCGTGGTGGTGCGTGCTATATTAGGAAGAGGAACAGCTCATAGCGGTTATTTAATGGGAAAAAAATTATCTCAGAGAAAGGCAGGAAGCCGAGGAGCGAGAGCCTGCTCTGCTGAGCTCGACGCCCTGCAGAAGGTGGCCTGGCCCTGGGGCTGCTCCCGGGGGGATGCCAGGGCTGTTTCTGGGTTTTTTTTTAATATATATTTTTTTTTCTTATTTTAAGTAATGTATGAATAATCAAGATTTGCATTTTTATCAGATGAACTAAAAAAACACTTCTCGCAGTATTACTGTGGAGATCTCTTAGACTAAAAGCAGAAGTCTGTCTCCACCAGTCAAACAGAGAGAGAGAGTCTGTCCCACCTTCTCTGACATCTCCTGGGTTTTTGGTTTATGTGTTGGCCGCTGCAGACTGAAGAGGAACAGGGGGCTCCTTGCGAGGCGCGGGGCTGCCATTAATAACAGTAATAAATGCCCTAATACAGCTGATACATTCAAAAATGGCAATTATTAACACAAATATCAGCTGGGATAAGCGCCTCTGAGGTGCCCTTCCTTCTGTGGCGAGGGGGGTGGAAATGCCCTGGGTTTCCCATGGTGGCTGGGTGCCCCCCACAATTCGGTGTGTGGAGAGAGGGGCTCGAGCCCCCAGGGTCCCCCCCCGGCTCCCGGGAAGCGCTGCCGGGAGAGGAGCCGGAGGCGGGGGGAGGACAGATCCCGGGGACAGGCACAGGCAGGGTGGAGGGAGGGGAGTGTATAAATAGAAAATGAAGTTGGTTTCTGCCTCTTGCTCTGTCTCTCAGCCTCCTGGCGCTGTCTCTCGTGTTCAGGTGTCCAGGCAATTACCCACTGTGAAACAGAGAGTGTGAGCAATCCCTGTCCACGCTCCTGCCTCAGGAACGTCACGCTGCACATTTCCTCCTCTGCTCTGCAGAGCCCGGTGCCAGTGAAACTTGCTATTATCTTGTTATTCTCTGACCCATGAGTAGGCGAAACCTTTCATTTTCCTTCTGGGGCCATGTCACGCTGTCAGGATCCCTGTGATAAACCCTGCTGTGATTTGCTGCTTCCTGCAAGAGAGGAGATCTCTTGGTTCTGATGGTTTTCCAAGGGGATTTCTGCAGAAAAGCCTGGACACCCCCAGTCCAGACCATCCCAGTGAGCCCAGTGCCTGCATCCACTGGCCCTGACAAGAGACATGTCTGAGGATGCAGCAGCTGAAGTTTGGAAGACTCTGGGCATCTTAAAAACTGCCTGGTTTCTCCTGTTTCAGGTCGGAATAGCCCATGTCTGTCAAAGAACTGCAAGGCACGTATCTTCTGCAAGAACTAGCAGGAATCTTCTGTCCCTCAGAGGTGTTTTAGTTGCCAGAGTCGCTATTGCGTAGTCAGTCTCTTACTTCTTGCAGCTTTAATGTTTGGAGGGGCCAGCTCCTGAGAGTGCTCCTCGTCCCCGGCTTTAAAAATGAGAAATGCAGTTTTTTGAGAGCCACACGAAGGACTGCTGTGGGGGGATGCGGTGGGGACGCGGTGAGCTTGTGGTGTGAGCGTGCGTGGGACCCAGCACGCCTGGCAGTGATGCTGCCCCTCGCCCCCGCGCGCTCCCCCCGACACCTTCTGCAGCATCAATTTTGGGCAGTTTGTGCCCAGCCCTCCCCGGGGCCTGGGGGGCAGCAGGGCACGGCCAGGGAGCTCCTCCTGTCACCTTCAGGGTGTCCTCTTTGTATCCTGGGATTTTTTCCCCGCTGTTTCTAGTTGGGAAAGGAGGAAAACAGACCCTCTGGGTGGTGCAGAGCCCCTCGGGTGCAGGAGGCTGTCCCCGTGTGTCACCTAGCAACACGCTCCTGCTCCCAGCTTCCCAGCCCGTTTGCTGCAGATACCTCCTTTTTGGCCCCGCACCCATCACCGGGGATGGCTACGCCGTAGTTTCAAATGCTTTTTTTATGAATAGAATGTGCCGGCTCTGATTAAATTTTTATTATTTTTATTTTTTTTTCTGCCAAATAAGTTAAAGCAGCTGAAAGCGCAGTGGTGCCTGTGCCGACGGTGCTGCTGGCAGCTGAGCTGGTCCCAGAAAATCGCCATTTTTGTTAGCGGAGCTGCGGTACCATCACTGTCTTTTTTCTTCCCTTTTAACACGCTCTAAGTAACGAACACTTTATGGAGGTGCAGAGCAGGAGGATTTCGCTCCGATTATCTTTCAAGAATTTAGGAATTTTATTTTTTTTTCCCAGGGACATAATTTGGTGTGTGAGCCCCGTGTTGTTCTCCCCGCGGTGAGATCCCCCTGTGCCGTGGTTGTGGTACCCGGGGGTGGGTTCCTGAGCCCGTCCCCTCCGGGCATCTCTCCCTGCCCCGCGCATCCCCTGGCCCCGGGAGGAGCGGGGCTGCCCCTGCCTGCGCGTCCGCTCCTCTGCTGGCAAAAGGTCAGAACAATTAAGGAGGCTGCAGAAGAAATGTGTGTACGTGTATTTAGCAGAATTAATTATCTTTAATCATTCACAGCTGTGGCCTGGCCAGCAGTGACTAGTTCCCTTTGTTTTTGCTGCGGTGGTGTTTTCTAGTTTACGTGTTTTAACCAACATGATGGTGATTGCTATCTCGAGCACAAATTGTTTTCCACTTATCGTTGGGGATGGTTTCCATGGGCTCTGCCGGGCGGCTGCTATCGGCCCCGGCCCAGGGACCCACCGAAACCCTCCCTCCGTTACACCCCGCGGCGGGACGGGGCAGGGGCTGGTGCGGGGCGTTTCGGAGGGCTCCGCTCAACCAGGGAGTGTTGGCAAAGGGGAAGAAGAAAAAAATCCTCCAGGTCTTCTGCCTAAAAATACAACCCGGCGCTTGTTTTGCTCCGCGTGGAGCGGTGCTGTCCTTGGCAGCCCCCCGGGCCTGTGCTGCCCACACCGAGCCCCGCAGGAGCCGGGGTCCCCGCAGCGCCGTGGGGCTCGCCGTGGGGTGCTCTGTGCCCAGTGGCTCCAGGAAACCCACCGAGGCGCCTGGGCAGGACTCGGGGTGGCTGCTTCCCCAGAAATGTGCTTTTCCTTGGGTTGTTTTCCCTGTTTCCCCCCAAAGGTGCAGCCGGCGAGGAGGCTGACGCCTCTTGGCACAGCAGGTCTGATTTCATCCCCGTGGCAGCTGTTTATGCTGCTGTCTGGTAACTATTCATTTGCTTGATTTATGTATTACTTCCAGTAAGTCATTCTTGTCCAGGACATTCTGGAAATTTCCACTAGCCGCTCCGGCCTCTGAGACGCACTTCTCTCATATGCTCCTCGCCTGGTTTGGCTGCCAAAAGCGAATAGCGACGGAGCTCCCTGACCTCGCCGGGCCCGGCAGATCCTCCCGCGCTGCCGCCTCCTCGCCCCCCTTTGGAAATGCCAGGGGTTTTTTGGCTGTAGCCTGTTTCTGATCCCTTTGGATCGTGGCACCGCTGGGTCCCGGGTGAATCCCCAGGAGTTCGAGTGACCCAAGGGATCTGGGTGCTCCCGTGGGTGGCAAAAGGAGAGGTGACTCTCCCTTTGGAGAGGTGACTCCTCGTAGGCAGGCTCTGCCTGGCGGGAGCTGGGAGAATCCTGCCTGGGGCTCGTCTGTCCCAGCTCTGGCTTGAGCCGGGCTGTTTCCCCCTCTTTCCTTATTCTCCTTTCCTCCTCCTGTTTTATTTGTCTGCTTCGTGTCTTGGTTTGGAGCGTCGAGTCCTGGTACCCGGGATGGGTTCTGCTGGGGGCTGCAGCCTGCTGAGCTTCTGTCCTATGCCAAAACCAGTCCCGTGCCAGAACTGGTGCCACCAGTGCTGCTGGGCATTGCCAGAGCCGCTG